GTTCCAAGTCTTTGCTATTGTGAATAGTGCTGCAATAAACATACGTGTGCATGTGTCTTTATAGCAGCATGATTTATAATCCTTTGGGTATATCCCCAGCAATGGGATGGCTGGGTCAAATGGTATTTCTGGATCTAGATCCTTGAGGAATCACCACACTGTCTTCCACAATGGTTGAAGTAGTTTACAGTCCCACCAACAGTGTAAAAGTGTTCCTGTTTCTCCACCTGTTGTTTCCTGACTTTTTAGTGATTGCCATTCTAACTGGTGTGAGATGGTATCTCATTGTGGTTTTGATTTGCATTTCTCTGATGGCGAGTGATGATGAGTGATGATAGGACGGAGTCTCGCTCTGTCATCAGGCTGGAGTGCAGTGGCACGATCTCAGCTCACTTCAGCCTCCACCTCCCAGGTTCAAGTGATTCTCCTGCCTCAGCCTCCCAAGTAGCTGGGACTACAAGGCGCCCACCACCACGCCCAGCTCATTTTTGTGTTTTTAGTAGAGACGGGGTTTCACCATGTCCGCCAGGATGGTCTTAATCTCTTGACATTGTGATCTGTCCATCTCGGCCTCCCAAAGCACTGGGATTCCTGGCATGAGCCACCGCCCCCGGCCCAGAATGACCTCTTTAAAGGCCCTGTCTCCAAATATAACCCCGTGGGGGATGAGGGCTTCCACGTATGACTTTGGTGGGGGCAGAAACTACTCAGTCTCCTGTACTCACCTTGGCTGTCTCGGCTTCTTTCTCTAGGCTCAGTCAGTGACTTTTTGGATTTTGTGAGAAAAACAGGCATTTGCGCTTCAAAGTGGGAATGGGGAACCACTCACAACTTCCTGTACAAACACGGTGAGAAGACCCTCCTCCCACCGCCCTGGTCTGTCCGTGCATGTGAATGGGCTGGAGTAGGGGAAGGGGTGGGGCCTGAAACAATCCCAGGCTGGTCCTTCACCAGAGCTTTGGAGCGGGGCTGGTGTCAACATGCCCAGGGGTCTGATTAGGGGAACCTTCGCTCGGTGGTGTGGTCCAGACTGAAAAATGTGTGGCCTCGCTGCGAGTCCCAGTCATCGTGAAGCGCCTCACTGATGGTTTTCTCTGGTTTTGCAAAAATGCAAAAAACTCTAATTTCTTGTCAGCTAGTCCTAGGACCTGGTCTTAAAAAAAAACACTTCTATGAGCCAGCGCAGTGGGTCACGCCTGTAATCCCAGCAGTTTGGGAGGCCGAGGTGGGCGGATCACTTGGGGTCAGGAGTTCAAGACCAGCTTGGCCAACATGGTAAAACCCTGACTCTACTAAAAATACAAAAATTAGCCGGACATGGTGGCGGGTGCCTGTAGTCCCAGCTACTCGGGAGGCTGAGGCAGGAGAGTCGTCTGAATCCGGGAGGCGGAGGTTGCAGTGAGCCGAGATCATCCCACTGCACACCAGCCTGAGTGACAGAGAGAGACACTATCTTAAAACAAACAAACAAAAAGAAACACTTGTATGGGTTTTCCCTTCATGGGGCTGACCCTGTCATTCGGGCGGAATTGATGTCAGGCTCCTGGGAACTCACACTAAGGCCATTTAATAGCCTCCATAAGCTGCAATGTTCGTGGCTGGTGGAGATCACTCGTGTGTGTGTGTCTTGCTCTGTTTCCCAGGTTGGGAATGCAGTGGTGCAATCATGGCTCACTGCAGCCTCGGCCTTCCCAGCTCAAGCAGTCCTCCCATTTCAGCCTCCCGAGTAGCTGGGAACACAGGCACACAGCATCATGCCCGGCTAATTTTTGTTTTTATTTTCCATAGAGATGAGGTCTCTCTATGTTGCCCAGACTGATCTTGAACTCCTGGGCTCAAGCCAGCCTCCAACCTCGGCCTCCCAAAGTGCTGGGATTACAGGTGTGAGCCACCCCACACCTAGCCTTCCCCACTCTTTTGTTACAAGACTATAGTGAACATCTTTATGTTTGTGGGCCTGTTGCCCTTGTGCAACTCGGGAAAAGGTGCATCTCCCAGAGCGGTGAATTCTAAAATGTGCCCCCTTGGCCAGGGCTGTGTGTGGCCTGGGAAGGGAACCCTGGCTGGATGTCAGTCCTGCTCACCTCTCCCGGGGTGCTTCCTGCCAGGAACACAGGACTTGAGCTGTGTCTGAGCACCATGCCACACAGCTGCCAGGTCTTATGGCCTCGGAATACACTTTCAAGCGTCGAGTCACTGGATCATGGCGATGAGTGTTTTAGCATCAAATTTCTCTCTGAAGGGCGTGGATGAAGTTGCTTTCTCAGTAGCAATATATGAGAGTGTAAACCAAAAATAAAATTCTAAGCCCCGCACCACCCAACCATCTGAATGGACCTCTCCTCTCA